AATACATCATATTTTCAGGACAGAACATTAATTGCATTATGTTCAGCCCTGTTGTTGACGGGCAAGTTATTTCATACATTTAAACTGGTTTGCTCCAATACATGTTGGTTCCCCTACCCAAACAAGCATAAAACTCTGATCAGCTTAGTTATCAATGACAATCTAGACTTACCTGACAGTCTGGCATGGCCCACCTTACCTTGGCATTTTCCAGCAAGTGCTATAGCCTGGCCCAGCCCGGTCTACCCTCAGTTCCAACTCATGCTAATGGGTGCTGCAGGCTAGTCCAGCCCAGCTAGCCCCCAATCCCAGCCCTAATGTGAACTGGCTGGTACTGTGGCCCAACCTAGCCTGTTCTGCACCCCATTTTGGTTCTCAGGTCTGCCAGAGGGAACTATGGACTGGTCCAGCCTGGTCCACCCCTAGACCTGACCCACACATATGTCAGCAGGTACTATAACCTGGCATGATCTGGGCTGCTCCCTGCCTTGGTTCTTGTTCTCACCTGCAGGCACTGCATCCTGACAAAGGAGCTCCCCAGGCTCTTCTATCAGGTCTCTTCCCAGTGACAGATCTCCCACACACCAATGGATCCTTGACTCAAACTGACTTAGCCAACCTCCTGTCCTGGCATGAACAGTGGCCTTGTCCAACCAGTATATGTCCATTCTTATTCTTACTGTTAGATGCTACAGTCAAGCCAGTCCTACACCCACCAAGGGCTTTTTTGGTTTTGTTGCATTTGCATAAGAACAGTGTTTTTGATCCAATGGAGGGGGACAGAAAGAAGAGCAGAGATGGGCACGATGGCATGGGAGGTCAGGAGCTGGCTCCCATGAAAGATACAGCAGTCACGCTGACTGAAAGCCACAAGCTGTCACAGAGCACCAGCTGACAGCTTTTATCAGAGGATCCAAGCGGTTCCTGAAGGTAAGGAAGGTCCTGGGCTTCCCAGAGGCTCTAACTGGACTTAGTCCCGATCGATACTGCATCCCCATCTCAGCATTTGCAAAGCATAGCTTAGAAAGAAACACAGGAAGTCATGTACAATCTTCCACTGCTGGGAAGTTAGGTGCTAGGAGTCATTTCCAAAGCAGCAAGTGTCAGGACCCATTATAAAAGGAAGACTGCTACTAACACCCTACAACAATCCACTCAAGAGCTGGCACTATGCAGGGCAAGCTGCCAGATGCAATGGTGGCATGCTACACGGGGTGCTGGTTCCAACCCACGCTGCTCTCTATTTTTTAAAGGCATCCGTTTATTTTTATTTGAAAAGCAAATTTTACAAAAACAGAAGGAGAGACAGAAAGAGAAAGGTGTTCCATTCTCTGGTTCGCTCCCCAAATGGACACAATGGCCACAGCTAAGCTAATGCAAAGCTGGAAGTCAGGAGCGTCTTCCAGGTCTCCCACACAGGCACAGAACTCAAGGCCTTGGTCCATTCTGCTTTCTGAGACCACGGCAGGGAACTGGGTTGGATGTGGAGCAGTCAGGACTAAGCAATGCCAGTAAGTGATGCTGGTGACACAAAGCAAAGACTTAGCTTACAGCACCACCACACCAGTTCCCATGTTGCTCTGCTTTCAATGCAGCTCCCAGCTAACATGCTTGGGAAAGCAGCAAAGTATGGCCTTCAAGATCCTCCCACATACACGGCAGTGAGTGTCCTGGATGGAGTTTCAGGCTCCTGGCTTCAGACCGACCCAGCCCTGGCTGTTGTAGCTGACTAGGGAGTGAACTGGCAGATGAGAGCTGGATCTCTCTCCCTCTCCTCCCACCCAATACTGCTCTTCCCCTCTCTTTCTTTTTGTAACCCATCATCACTGCATGTCACATGGAACACCCAGACAGAACTGCTTAAAGTGTGTATCCACCTAGTCATAAAATGACTTAGGAGAGATCCAATCTCCACCAGAAGCCTGCAGGAAGCAGGTAGAGAAAACAAGGTGCTAGAGGCAGGAACTCTTTCTCCAGGAGAAGACCAGAGAGCAAAATGGCAAGCAGAGGGGTCAGGACCATCCACAGTGAGTACATGAAGATGCAGCCAAAGGGCAGAGCTAAACATAACGATGTGCTCCTTCAGCTGAGGTACAGCTTTTCAACAGCAATTCCTAGCAGTTCATGGGAGGCAAAATCATCAGCTACACATGGGTTCCCAGGCAGGTTAATCCACAAACCACTACCAATTTTTCCCTTCGTCTCATCTCCCAGAGACTTCCCACACTGAGGGCCCAAGGGAGAATGGAAGAAACAAAAATGGCCACGCACCCTTCCAAGGCAACACAGCTCAGAACACTGCATCTCCCCAATGCAATTTCTGTCACCGACAGGTGCACTCGGGGAAGACCTTCCTGAGCTGCATCGCAATGGAGCAACCAGGACAAGAACCAGTGTCCATGTGATGCTGCCACTAAAAGGCAGAAGATTAGCCTGTTGAACCATGGTGCCAGCCAAGACCACTTCTGCAACAGAGGATTCTGATGTCATTTTTTGGTGCTCTCATTGAATTTCACAAACTCCTGATATGAGACAATATCTGGCATTGAGAAAGCCTAAATTTAATTTTGAAAGAAATCTCCATTTATTTAGCGTCTGCATTCAGGGCTGCAAAGAATGAACACAATTCTGTTTACTTCCACATGAATTTTCAAAAGGGCAACAATTGGAAAGGAACATTATAAGTTCCCTTTCAACAAGAAAAAAGGCATCACGTCAGCATCTGGAGGTAGAATGCAGAAATGCTCAGAGGTCAGGAATGCAACACTCAGCATAAGACAATAAGAGATCTTAACAGTGGGTTAGAGCAGGCACACAGGAGGAGCAGCAGGTGCCTGTCCCTGCAGCTCAGGGGCTCCAGTCTCACCCCAAACTTCTCCTGCAAATCAGAGCTTCTGAGTCCCGAGGCCTCACATGAGAGACCAGGATGGAGTCATCAGCTCCTGCCACACACGGACCTTCAGCAAAAGAAACATCAGGCAGAAAATGTGGGTTTCTGCTCCGATCGCTCAAGCTGTGTCTCCCAGTAAATTGAATGGATGGATGGAGGGATGGATGGACAGAGGGCACTGTCACTGATTCTGCAACTGAAACATCAAGGCCCGACCTGGAGATAGAATTCCTTCCAGCATGTTCTTTAAGGGCCCATCCCACCTGCAATTCCCTCGACATTCTCTGCCAATTAGGGAACTTTGTTGAAACGGGAAGAACCCTAAAAACACAGGTATGTCTCTTAAAGGTCAGGCCACCGCTCTGCCGCACAGAGCTCAGGCGGCAGTCGGAGTGTTCCCGGCACCTCACCGCCACTTCTGCTAATTGGGTAGAGGTCTGCTCACCAGGAAATGGCAAAGAAAAAGTAGCAGGCTCCCAATTAGCTTCTCTCTCTCCCTTTCGGTCCCTCTACTCACCGCAGTCAAGTCCCTGCCTCCTCTTTCTGCACACTTTATTAGCTGCAGTCAAGTGCGGGGACCCAAGAACAAAGCCACCTTACAGTCTCGTACCTGCCAGTATTAAATGACAGTCTGCGGAGAGGCTGAAAGGAAACGAGTCTGGGAGCAGAGGAATTCCGACCTCAGAAAACACAGTCAAATATCCATGTGGTGGAACTTAGGGCTACTTGGGGTTCTTGGGTCTCCGATAAGTCATCAGAAACCTTCTTGCTACAACATGACACCAAGAGGCTCTGGGTTTTAAACCCACCTGTCTACTTCCAAGACATCCCAAGACAAAATGGACTTCAGAACCACCCCACCGCTCCCCACCACCACCACCGCCCACCCACTTCCCCCCGCCCTGCCCCCATACAGATCCAACCCTCTACCCCATGAAATGACTGAGTGGACAAACTTGTCACCAAAAAGACGATTCTTTCTGGAATCACCCCATGACCTCATGTGGTTCTGGTTCAGATGCCTACGAGATTTATCACCCAGCTTTTGATGGCAAAAGTAAAGCACATGACTGCTCCGACCCACAGGCCCCACTCCCTGCCAGGACACACCCCCATCCCACTCCTCCTGCTGCTCCCCACCCCCGCCACCCCGAGTGAGAGCTGCTGAGAGACAAGCACACCAGGAGATGCCGTGACAAAAACAAACCCACTGCAGGTACAGACAGATCTAGGACTCTGTTCATATGTCCAGGTCAGGTGGCACCTATCCTATCTTGGCCAGTGTTGTGGCACAGCACATTATGCCACCTCCAACAACATGAGCATCCCATATGGGCGCAGGTTCCGCAACCTCAGACCCTTTCAGCTACTGTGTCTGGAAGAACAGAGGCACTCTGGCAGTCCCCCAGGCCTCACTCATGGCCCACTCATGGCCCACTCATGGCCTCACTCATGGCTCACTCATGGCTCACTCATGGCTCACTCATGGCCTCACTCACGGTCTCACTCACGGCCCACTCATGGCCTCACTCACGGCCTCACTCACGGCCTCACTCATGGCTCACTCATGGCTCACTCATGGCCCACTCATGGCCTCACTCACGGCCTCACTCACAGCCTCACTCACAGCCTCACTCATGGCCTCACTCACGGCCTCACTCACGGCCTCACTCACGGCCTCACTCACGGCCTCACTCACGGCCTCACTCACAGCCTCACTCACGGCCTCACTCACGGCCTCACTCACGTCCTCACTCACGGCCCACTAATGGCCTCACTCATGGCCTCACTCACGACCTCACTCATGGCCCACTCATGGCCTCACTCACGACCTCACTCACGACCTCACTCATGGCCTCACTCATGGCCTCACTCATGGCCCACTCATGGCCTCACTCATGGCCTCACTCATGGCCTCTCTCACAGCCTCAGCAACACCAGCCCTAATGTGATGTCCTGCGGTGACACATATCAGATGTCCACAGCAAATGCATGCTTTCACATCTACCAGATGAACGCTGAGGTGGAGCCTGGCAGGTGTGCAGCCCTCCTCATGATGGAAGCAATCCCTGTGGGGGTGAAGCCCAGGTGGACCGTTTCATCAGCTTACCTGCTCCTGCTTCTCCAACCACTTATCTACCATGGGGTGGCTGGCGCTCAAGGATGACCGTGCATTGTCCCTCTGGAACTGATGAGACCAGCTACTGGTGTCCCTGGGCAGGCTTCTGTAGTTTTCATCTTTCTATTCAAGAAGAAACAAAGAAGAGATGGCTCATAAAAAGAAATCTTGCAAATCAGCTTTGGTTTTCAAAGGCAGCGGTTTTAAGATACTGTTGCAAAAGCACAAAGTCAGTTGACTGGGGACCCTCCATCCACCCAAGACTTCAGAAATGCAATCAGGTGCAAGTCTACTGCCTGTGGCAGGTGGGGTGGGCCATGCATGCACACCTACCCCCCAGGCTGAACGCTGCACCCGCGATGGAGTACAAGTTGCACGTACACCATAAAAGCAAGACATATTTCCAAACAGGATTTCAATTTATTTTCAGTGCCATAATCACGCTGTGAGATACCGCCTATAATTCACCAAAAATGCTGAAAATACACAATGATCAAGGCCTACCGGATGCTTCTTTCACAAGAGTAACAATAATTGGTAACAGCAACGAAGACATCACAAGGCACATCCACATCCCACAGCAGAATACCTGGGCTCGTGTTCTGGCTCCACACCCCATCCAGCTTCCTGCTAACGTACACCTCAGCAGCCAGCTGATGGCTCAGGTACACAAGTCCCAGGTCCCTGCCAGCCACATGGGAGAGCCTGATGGAGCTCCAGGTTCCTGGCTTCGACCCAACTCATCTCTGACCATCGCAGGCATTCAGCAGTTAATCACATGGCAGAATTCTTTTTTTTTTCTATTTTTCTCTCTGCCTTTCAAACCAATAATTCAAGATTTTAAAATTAATGACTAACTTATAACAACTTTCTTTGGCTTTTGAGCTGTCAAGCTAAGAATAAAATGTGAAAGTCACGAGCAGGAGAGGAAGGCAGAGTCTTCAGGCACTGAAATCTCCCCCATAAGATCAAGCAAAAATCTTCTCCTCAGAGCCAGTGCTATGGTGCAGCAAGTTAAGGCACTGCCTGCAGGGCAGGCATCTCCTACAGGCTCCAGATCAAGTCCCAGCTGCTCCACCCCAGCTCTCGCTAATGGCCAGGGAAAGCAGTGAAGGCTGCTTGGGTCCCTGCCCTCATGTGGGAAACCTGGAAGAAGTTCCTGGTCTTTGTAGGCAACTGTGGAGCAAAGAAGCAGAAGAAAGCCTACTTTCTCGGTCTTCTTAACCCCTCGCTCTGAAATCTCTCAAAGAAATAAATCTTAAGAAAAAAATCCTTACCATCGAATGACAATGACAATCCTTACCATGACATCAGTTACCATGGTCAATACCCAAATCGTCATCTTCTAGGTGCAGGCTATAAATGGCTATAAATATTACAGATGCACGACAGACGAATGCATTACACCCTAACTGCATGGGCACTAAATATAGGCTGAATATCCCTTCTTCCAAAATGCTTGAGAACAGATGTAGTTTAGATTTCCGACTTGGGAAATTTTAGAATATGTACACGCAGAGAATGAAGTGTATTAGGAATGGGATGCTAATTTAAATATCAAATCACTTCTATTTCATCCACAAAGGGTCTTTAATAAATGCAGAAATGTGCATTATCAGCAATTCTTTTAAAATTATTTTGTCCCAAATAAGCTTATCTTTAAGCCTCATTTTTACAAAAATTTTAAAAGTACCCATGTTCACAACATACACGGAGCCTGAAGGTGAGAGCGCGAGGGAAAGGTTGTGGGGCGGGGGAGCGAGCAAGAGAACCAGCACGCAAGAGAATGTGAGAGTGTTTCTATCATTGACTTCCTGATAACAGTCATCTGGGCCAGGCCAAGGCAGGGCTCAGAAGCTCCCTCTGGATCTCCCACGTGAGTAAAGGGCCCCAGGCACTTGAACCATCTTCCACTGCTTTCCCAGGCACAACAAAAAGAAACCAGGTAGGAAGCAGAGCAGGTGAGAATAGAACCAGTGCCCATCAGGGACACACAGTGCTTTAACTGGCTGCAGTAAAACGCCAGCCCTCACAGGGCAGCTCCTTCTACTATTTTGAGGGCAGTTCCACTTTGACTACAACCTGTCACATGAGGGACTATGTGGAATTTTTCCACTTATTGTACCAAAATTCTCATGCACGAACGAAACTTTTTTTTTTCAATTTCGTTTTTTATTTCAGGTTTCAGATAATCAGGTTAAGGATGCACAATCCATCCAAACACAGAAACAAAAAAATGTGCAGTTCAGTCACTTTGCCTGGTGCAGCCCTGTCTTCCTTCATAACAATAACACTGAAAAAGAACTGACACTCCTGGATCTCTATCAAGAGGCTCAATGATACAAAAGGCAAAACACACACACCACACACACGCTCTGAGCTACTTACAAATACACACTCAGCCATGGCCCTTTGTATGCTTTTACATAAAGCACTCAATGGAACAGAATAAAATCATCTCTAAAAACAGCAAAAGAAAACCTTCCTACCAGAAAAACTTGATCCATTTCTGGTCTCTGCAGCTCGAGTAGCTGCAGTGGAGGGAATCACCAACTCCAACAGAACACAAATGGGTCACAGCCAAATGTCACAATTGTCTAGGCAACAGGACCTAGGGGTTGGCCTGCTAAAGTGAACTAGGAAGGGGAGGGAAAGAAAAGAGAGGGGAGCGAGAGAGAAGCGGGGAGATGGGGGAGAGGAGATAAGGAGAAGGAGGGAGGAGAGAAGGAGGGATGGAGGGGAGGGAAGAGCAAGGCGTGTGGGCAGGGAATGAAATGTCAGGTCTCACTGGGGGACACCTCACCTGAAAACTTGCATCTGCGACCAAGGGAGACACCCCTTTGTCGGTACACAGACAATCGCGCTATGGAGAGCCTCGAGAGGTCACTGGGCAAGGAGTGTAAGGCTCACCCTGGAGGCCTTGGCAAAGCCCAGTGCAATGAAGCCATGTGCGTGACCCTCGGTGCCACAGGCATGACAATGGTACCAACTCCGCACTGAGCAATGGTCACTGTGCACAGCACCCTGAAAATCTCCCCTGCCGTGCCAGCTGGGGAGGGCAGGCCGGACCGCTTGGTTGCAACATCAGGGTTATGTACTCCTCCTGACATCATTTGCAGAAGGCGAAGATCACATCGTGGGAAAAGTCCACGGGGAACTGGGCACTTGCAGAAGGAAAAAACACCATTCCCAATTCAGGACGTGTCATCTCCCATCCAGAGCTGCTCTGTGGCCCTTGGCTGAGGGTCCCTGGCTGGCTCTGGTCTCATCCTCCTCATCCATGTCCTCCGTACAAGGTGCTGAGCCAGCACAACCAACATACAAATACAGACCATGTATAGTTCCCTACCCCCACAACACTCACTCACTAACTCACTCACCTGGAGCCCTTCCAAACCTGCAACTCCTGCAAAAAAACCCAGCCATCTTCCATGCCCAGATGTCACTTGACCCTGGCAACCTCCCTGCTGGCAGCAGAACTCCTCCTCTCCTGAGTTTGCGATGGGTGGGCTCAAATTTCCCTTTGGTGGTGCCTCTAACTTATAGTTAACTTTTGAAATTGTGCTTTCCATGATCACATGGCAGAAAGTCACCACTCGCCTTCAAACCCAAACTCGGCAAGGTGGCCATACTGATGGCCTGGCTTCACTTTAATTACTGTGTGTTTGTTTTCTTCCTTTTTGTCTGCGATCTGGCATGTCATCAGAACCCTGGAGATCCAAACAAACCCATTGCTAGGTTGTTTCTACTGTGTGTTTCTTCAATGTGCTTTATTTTGGGGGGACGGTGTTCAGTTCACAGCTGTAGTTACCACTCTTGTATCAGATGTCAAAACACCTAGGTTCAAGTCCCGGCTCCAGCTGCTGATGAATGCACAGCCCGAGAGGCTGCAGGTGACGGTTGAGGTGCTGGGGCTGTTCCCATCACTCAAGTGACACCCCTGGATTAAGTTTCTTTGCCTGGCCCAGCTCTGGCTATTGTACGCATTTAAGAAATGAACCAGCAGATGAAATATCTCTGTCTTCCTTCCAGATAAAAGCAAAACCAGGCATATACATCAAACACATATTTTGTCTGAAAAGTAACAGCTGCATCTTGCAGTGTCTGATGAAACATGTGTACTGAAGTCGTGTGCCCACTGCACTGAGTGCCACACCCACAGCCTGCACCGGGCCAGGGCTGTGGCTGCTGAGTTTACTCCATGTGCACGTCAGACATGGTGTGTAACCTCCAGGTAAGTCAGCTCTGACATGCCCCTCACAGACAGGGCATCATGGGACAATCACACCACAACTAACAGGACATGACCAAAAGCTCAGTCCTCTGGCACTTGGCCTAAAACATGCTGTGACTTTGTGCCAAATCCAGACTTATGTCACATGGCTGGCAGTAACACGCCATCTCCTCCACATTCCCCCTTAGCCTGGAGCTGGGATCAGGTTGCATGTCTTGGCTGAAGGCACATGACACACCTCCCGTGGACATGGCCTCCCTCTGACACGCATCTACCACACTGCACTGTGGGCTCAGACATGCCTCTGGGTATAAATGATCTCAATGCAATGTGCTTCTCTGTCTCTGAGAAAAATCCACACCCGTTTACAAGGGAAAACACTACTAGAAAACCAGTCAAAACTGCTAAGATTTATTTTCAAAACCTCCATTTGATGACTGAAGAGAAGCCCCTTGGTCAAGTATTATCCTCACGTCTACCTACACTTGCAACAAGTGGGAGCAGCTTTGAAGAACCCAACCGCCCACCTGCATCATTCGTATCAACTGGGGCTTCCAGTCTTCACACTGCCACATGCCAAAGTCAGGGAAATCTCTCTCTGCAGACTTAAATACTACCAGTGGTACGAAGATGTAAAAACCGTAATGACTATTGCACTTGAAAAGGAAGGAAAAGCATTTCTGAAATCAGTATTTTATGTAAAAAAAAAAAAAGCCATTAAGAACAGCCATTCCCTTCTCTTTTTATTTTATTATTATTATGTTTTTAGTATATCTCAAAGCAGAGGAAAAAGAAAAAGAGAGAGAGAAAGAGAGAGAACTTTCATTTAGTGCTTCACTCCCTAAGTGGCGTCAACCACCAGAGCTGAACAGGCTGAAGCCAAGAGCCC